GTCCATAAAAGTTATCAAGTCAATCAAGAAAGCACAAAACTAGGGCTGGCTGGTTAGCTCAGTTGCTTAGAGCACAGCCTTGTAATGCCAAAGTCAGGCCAGCTCCTCCCCATCTACGCCCCACCCCCAACACCCAAAAAGAAAAAAACAAAACCAACTAAGAAAGAACAAAACCATTTTGCAGTAAGGTTAAAAAGTTCCTATTTGATACTTTCTTTCCTCTCTCCACTCTCTTAAGTAACTGTGTTAAAAATAACATACTTAATATCATCAGGGTTCTTAGTAGTAATAGAGGAAACAAGTGGGTGAATGAACTGAGAAGAATGTGGAACATGTTACCTCTCTGTATAGCACAAGGAGTCTGGCATAGAAAAAGTATTCCCATGCAGACAGACAGCAATAGAGGGCATAGTGAAGTCAGTGCAATTTTAACAAGATCTCTCTGATTCTCTCTCTCTCTCTCTCTCTCTCTCTCTCTCTCTCTCTCTCTCTCTCTCTGTCTCTCTCATACACACACACACACACACACACACACAAATATATATTAACACATAATGCATTTTATTCAGAGAAGAGATGTTCAACTTAATGTTATAGGATAGTAATGTCATTAAATATGACTAGGCAAAATATATTTCCCAGAAGGAACTAATTTTTACTCAAATTTGAAGAATGAAAAGATTCACAATGAGAGTTGGAATAGAGATAGGGCAGAGAGGAAATTCTTAATAAAAATTGGGAACATCAGGAGAGAGATAACACCTAGTCTAATGAAAGCACTGATAAATACACAAATGCCATTTAGCTGAGCAGGACATAGTTGCAAAGTGATGTAGATGGAAGTAACACACCATGACACAATAAAAATCATTTATATTATGGACTAATTCAACAAGGAGTATAGTATATTAAAATATCTTGAGTTGGTAAGCACTATTAGAGACTTAGATAGGGATGCTAGATTTAAAAAATACTAAAAGGCCTTTGTTTCATATCTTTCACTAAATGAATATACACCTGGGGATGTGAAATTACTAATGCCATAACTAGCTAGCCTAGAGACCTGGTGACCAAGTCTCTAGTCTAGTACTACTTTTATAATACTAGCTGACTCCCAGGAAGAACCTCCATCATCTGCCCACCTTCCTCTTTGCATCTGTGGGGCCTACTGATAGTTAATATTTGTCTGTAGTACTAATAACTCCCAAGGCCATAACAGACACACCCAGGAATAGTGACTCAGGGAGGAACCAAGATCTGAACTTGGGCGATGTTACTTTGCCCTAATTCTCACTAGACTTTTGCTTATGTGTCTTCTTGATTGCATATTTCACAAGAATAAAATTCACATCTTACAAAAGAAGCTAGCCTAGAATTAGGAAACAGAGATGCAAATAACAATCTGGTTAAACATTAACACATTCAAGACTATCAGAAGTTATAACTTCATGAATACGTTCTACTGAGTGGCTAGAAAAAAATTACTTTAATGAAAGATTACTTTTTTAAGTAATTAGAAGGGATGTTTTCATAAGAGGAGTTCACAGTAATTAGGAATGTATGCATATATCATGTTGGGAACATTTCTTGAGAGACAAATAATTACCTGGGAAAAGTCTTGCTAGACATTATCAGACTTTATAGGGACTTTATCAGACTTTATAAAGTTGACCCAAATGTAATTATGTCAAGCACATGTTGAAAAATAGAATGGCGTTAAAAAAAGAGACAGCAAATTAAAATATGTCCCTTTATAGCATAAGACATTACCGATAATTGGATTTTCCCAAAGAAGTATTTTCAAATAAATAACATAAGCAAACATGCAAAAGGAAAAAACATCCTCTAAATAACTTTTAAGTGACAATTGGGAAAAATAAAATGAATAAATAAAAAAACCTATAGATTTTTGAAATACTAAATGTGTAAAGATCACATTCTGCTTATAAAAGCAAAATGATTCAGAGACTGTATAACTTAAGCTAGAAACAAGAGCATAAATATCAGTGAAATTCAAAAACAAAATATTTCAAATAATATTTCCAGTAAAGACAGATAAGATGTAGAATTATTTTTAATTCCTTCCTTAAGGGTCTGGAAGGTTGACTACATATTTAGGATCAGACTCCAAATATTTGGACCTCTAAGCAGATTGCTTTTAGATTCTTTTCATTAATTTAAGATTCTTCCATAATGTGGCATTTATTTTCATAAGTCCTTTATCTCAACTGCAAACAGAACAGTGAAAATGGATTTAAATTCCTCTCTGAGATCACTTCCTGGGTTCTGCTTCACTGATTCCTTGTCTTACTCATTTAACCTCATATCTCCATAGGTTTTACAATGTTGATTAGCAAAAGAATCGTCCTGAGAAATCAGGAGGCAAGAAATTTCATTCTATCCATAAAATATGCATTATTCAAACACTTTATGAGAAAAGAGCATCCTTCTATAATGCCATGACAATTCATTGGATTCCCAATAAAGAGAATTTATCTCTTAAAAAGGTTCAAAAACAAAGTTTATCCTGATGACTAATAGACATCCATTGATTCTGAAGGATAAGAACATGACTTATCTGTTGAATAAGCAATAGTCATGAAAACCACACAGCCATTAAAAAGCAATATGTCCTGACAAGCTTTTATTTCATAATAATATTTGCTCTTTTAATTTTAAAAATTTTCACAGGACCTTGCCCAGTATGAGCCAAATAATCTAAATTTTTTAAAAAAGTGGTCAGATAACTTTCTTTTTCTGGAGTACTTGATCCTTCAAAAATGTTTAAATAGACATAATAACATATAAGGAAACCTCTAAAATACTTAAGAAGCATATATCGTATGAATATATAGCCAATTTGATGTTAATATTTATTACATCTGGGTAAAAAATGGCACATTCCTCAATATCTTAAACACACACAACAGTTACCTGTTATGATTTATATTCAACTCCAATATACTCAATTTACAACATCAAATAATTATTTTTCTTTGAATTCAGCCTAATATGCATATACAAATCAAATAAAAGTAAAATTCTCTTTCCTTTTTTATGCCCTTTTGATTTTACGGAAGAAAAGAAGAACACTACATTATTTTTTTATACTATGGACTTCAATTTCCTCAGCTTGCTAATTCAAGCGGGAATTCCCAGCAGACAGGACCAGGTAAAGGATATTATTTTTAGAGGCTCATTAAATACATAGCTGCCACATTAGAAGGAAAAATACATCAGAAGGTCATGACTAATGTTCATTTCCAATGAGTGCTGGCCCCAAAACTTATATCTCCTGAATTACATTTTGCATCATAGAAATGCAATGTCACAAACGAAACTAGTGTAGACTGACGAATATATGATTACCAAGTTACCATAATAATAATATTAAACTTCACTGATGCATTTTTCCAATTTTCCATTAACATTGTGGTTCAAAAGCATATTGTGTTCCCAAACAGAAATTCATAAATGTTAGTACTCAATATTTTTTATCTTGCCTTTACAAGGACTTATTTCTATCTTGAATTTTGTTCTGTTGTTTTATGAAATACAATTGTATAATTTATGTACAGAGCATGGGACAATACAGTTTAAAAAATACTCAGGATTCGGTTCAGAAAACTTATTTGAAATTTCAATTCATTCAATAAAAGTTTAGTCATCTGCTATGAGCCTGATTCTATAGCTAATTTTTAACAATTGCAATAGATTAGTACTTTCTTTAATATAATACTGCTAAAGTATTTTTTAACACAGCTATAAAGTCAGGTTATTTGAGTTCAAAAGGTTTGGGTTTAAAAAAATCACCTTACTTTTGCAAAGCCCTACATTTGACATTAGCCTCAGAACATTGTGTTTCCCTAATGTGATTGCTAGGCTTTTAGTGGCCTGTCTTGCAAACTACCATGTCACCATATGCTAAAGTCAGGTTATTTGAGTTCAAAAGGTTTGGGTTTAAAAAAATCACCTTACTTTTGCAAAGCCTACATTTGACATTAGCCTCAGAACATTGTGTCTCCCTAATGTGATTGCTAGGCTTTTAGTGGCCTGTCTTGCAAACTACCATGTCACCATATGCAGATTTCAAGGGTCTTATATTTCTGTACCTCATAAAAGCATACTTTTTCAAGCAGTTCTGTGTCTAGTTGACATGGAACAAAGCAATGCCAGGTATGTTTTCATCCTAAGGTCCCTTTCAGGTTTAAATTTTTATCCCTGTAACTGGGAAATCGACATTTTATAGTTAAAAATCATGACTTTTTGTCCATACATATTAAAACTCTATGTTGAGCTTGGGGAATTTTGTTGTATTCTACAAAATACCTACCATGGTACTGAATACATAAAAAACTCTCAATAACTTCCACCAATTGATTAAAAGAAAATTTCTACAGTTTTATTTGAGCTCTAAAATAAGATTTGTGAGATTTATAAGTCAATATAAATATTTGATAAAGAGCACCAAGGCCCTAAAATGCTAAGTACCTCCGGACCTTACTTTAGAATTTTACATTATCATGTTCATTTTATACTGTTGACACACAACTCAGGAAATAGATAAGAAAACCTAAGGTTTTTTAATAGCATAAACCATATCCAGAGAAAGAATTAGTACTCAGTCTGGTTAAGAACAAGGAAAACTTCACCAGATCCACCAACATGTATCTTTTCAGGGATTAAGAAAAATTTAGGTGCTTTAAATTTATGGAAGTGTCAAATCATCTTCTTCTCAGTTCATGTATTTTAGCCTTCAGGGGAAGAAGGAAATAAAATATCTACCTTTAGCAGGGATCTAATGCCACTTTCTTCAGATATGTGCAAGATATGGAAAATACAACCTTCCTATGTATCCATGGGTATATCTCCTGAAAATAATAAGGATGGTCCTTACATATAGAGATTCTTTTATTAACATTCATATATGTTATACTACTTGCTGTATCTTTTTTATATGTTTCGAATGTTTTTCATTTCAAAATAGAAACGTCATTTACCTTTCTTGCTTCTTTTATCATCTTCCGAATAGTTTCCTTTATTGTAAGTAGGTGCGCTCTTGGTGGATGAAAGAGGAGGTCTACGTGGGTACCGCCTAAGAGTCCAGGCATCACATACGGCCAGCCTAAGTCAAGATTTGGAGCTTCCACATCAGACTCAATGGGCCAGTAAGTCCCTGAAGATGATGTATCATCACAAGAATTATCGGTACCACATGCTGTACTTTGTGCAATTTCCTGGACATTTTTCAAAATATAATTAATTTCTTCCTCAGCTAGAAAGTCTGAAACTCGTTCCTTGGCAAGAAATTCGTGGTATGCTTCCAACCCATGTTCAATCAGAGTATCAATGGCTAGTCGATACCATTCCTTGTAATGAGGCTCAATGTAGTTGTCAGATTTACACTCATCATTCAATGAGGAAAGCATTGATGAGGTCTCCATGCTTGCAAGCATTTGACAGGGGCACTTTCAAATGTCCATTCATTCAGTGGCAAGAGGTATCTGGGTGTTTGAAAAGAAGGAAATCAAAATCAGTTAAAATTCTTTAATCAAATGTTTTACAATATATGTCAACTATTATTTTTACATTTACTCATTTCCATTATCAGCTCAAAATGACATATATTGCATAGCCAAAATGACATTAAGAGCACCATAATTCATATAACTATCACAGATAAGCTAAACAGATTTCCTTAACGGACTGCTGTTTGATTTTCCTTTTCCAAAGTTATCTCTACTCTTTGTTTCTTGGCTGACACAATACACCTTCCTTCTCTGACATACAGAAAGTCTTTCTTAATCTTGAACTATACATGGTGGTATCAGTTTTTATAAGCCTTTTGGGGTTTAGTTTTTATTTATTTATTTATTTAGGTGGCTGGCCAGTATAGGGACATGAACCTGTGACCTTGGGGTTATAAGGCTGTGCTCTAACCACCTGTGCTAACCGGCCAGCCCCTTGGTTTTGGTTTTAAAATTACTATACAATTGATGCCTGGCCGTTCATTAATACAAGCCTCTACTGAGTATTTGTCATACACTAGATGAATATAAAAAGCACAAAACACGTGTCTTCCAGGAATTTATTAAATATTGAAGAAGTTGTGCTAACCGGCCAGCCCCTTGGTTTTGGTTTTAAAATTACAATACAATTGATGCCTGGCCGTTCATTAATACAAGCCTCTACTGAGTATTTGTCATATGCTAGATGAATATAAAAAGCACAAAACACGTGTCTTCCAGGAATTTATTAAATATTGAAGAAGCAAAATGTACACACAAAACATGTATCACTTTGAACAAAGCCACATATGGCTAAGGTCAAAAATAAGTAATGCCTGTATTCAGTGCTTTAAGAACAAAAGCAAGTAAAGATCAGTATGGAGTAAATCAGTTATGAATAATCCTGTACAGGAGGTGGGTGTCAGCTCAACCTGGGGCTGTAAGACTCTGATCAGGTGGTAAGAAAAAATATTTTCATCCCACATGAGAATTAAAAACATAAGCAAAAGCACAGAACAAGAATGAGCTTGGTACATTCAGGAATCAAAAACAAACAAAAAATAAACTTGGTATGCTGGAAAACAGGTTCCTTTTACGAGGAGTAGGATATAAAGTTGAATAGACAAGATGAAGCCAGGACACAGGAGATTTCTGTGATTCAGAAAAACTTGTGTTTAAAACAATTAGTCTTGCAGTAGCAGGGAAATGAAGGACAGACAAGTAGCTAGGAAAGTCTTCAGCACTCAAACACTTAATGAGGAAGTGACAAGAATATTCAAGAGAAAGCTCAAAGAAAGAACCCCTGAGATTTGGTGACTTGACAGCATATAGGTGATGGAGAAATTTAAGACATCAAAGATAATACAGGAATTTCTCTTAGGAATTAAAATCTGCCTAACCAAGCTTATGCTCCATCCTTCATAATGCCCACAAAATAGAATTCATTCAATCATTTACTCAATCCTTCTTCTGTGAGACTCTACACTGGACTTAATCAGATGAGGGACCTTCCAGTCTTTTGAAGTCATAATCTCCATAGTGTGGATTCAAAGTACAACTCTATGGTGTACTGCAAGCACTAAAAAGCTGATTTGACCAATAACATCTTTGTCAGTGTCCCTGCCCTAATTTTAAATTTTCCACTTAACTCAGACTTTTCAGTCTCAAGCCTACCAAAATTCAAGTTCGATTTGGAAGGGGAACCCAGGAAGCCATTACCAAGTATTAACTAAGTGCTTAGCTCAAAATATGTAACAAGAGTCAATAGCTAATCATACAGGGAAGTCATTAAAGAAGAGACAACAGAGCCATAAGTTTTGCTGGGGAGCAAGGATCAAAAAAGACCCAACATGTGCTGAGAAGAAGTGAGGACCAGACAAGACAAAAAATGCCTCACTTTATCATTTTAATGGAGCCCATCTATGGGCTCAGAATTTTTAGAGAAAGTCTAACAGTATAGAAACCCGAAAGATTAAATCTGATTTAAGAATAAAAACAGAACATGTTCTTTCTGTTTTCTAGAGAGACCCTAACTTGAGTCATAACTTGATCCAAGCCGAGACACCTAGAATGGTCGCTAGATCCTAGGCTTAGTGATACAGCATCTGAGTTCTAGGGAAGACAGATGCCTGCTCTAAGTGATATTACAGTGAAGCTTTGAAGAAATATGCTCTCCTCCAAGGCAAAGGAAGGAACACCTAGCTTGTCTGCTAGTGTGAAAGCTATGGTATGAAGGAACAAAATTTGTTTCTTATATTATCTAAATAAAATTGATGTGTACCAAAGATACATGCTGAAAATTTCATACATTTCTCAATCATTGTAAAAGGTGCCATCTTTTCCCAATCATATTTTATTCAAGTTCAGTAGTTCTCAACAGTTGAGATTTGTCCCCAGTGGAGAATATCTGGAGACATTTTTTTAAATGTAACCGTGTGTGTGTGTGTGTGTGTGTGTGTGTGTGTGTGTGTGTGTGTATGTAGCTGGGGGGTAAGGGAGGGGGGGTGGTTGTAGAGAGACCAGACATGCTGCAAAATATCTTATAGTGCACAGGACAGCCACCCACAATAAGGAATTATCTGGCCCAAAACGTCAATAGTACCAAGATTGAGAAATCTTCATCAAATTGCTCATTTCATATGCTTGATAACACACTACTAATGAATAACCTTTTCAATGTTCATTAAAGTTCTCTTTCACACATGTTCATTTTTAAGAAAGAAAAAGATGTATATTCACTTGACAGAATCAATCCATATGCTTAAAGTATAGTTTCCTAAGGTTTAGTGAGGTGTGGTTTTCAATGATAATTACAGCTCATGAAGGGAAAAACATATAGTGATTACATGAACAATCACATCTTTTATTTATAA